CCCTACAGTCCTGGTAGTTAACAGACCACTGCTTGCACTCAGTGCAAGACAGCCATGTGGGAAAACACCTCCAAAACCAAAGTACAAAATCTGTCCTTACCTTTAGGTTATTAATGGAGAGGAAGTAAACAGCAGCACACGCAGCTACTGCTGTTCCCAGGGAAGCAAGCCAAGAAACAAGATGAATAACAATGTGAACAACTCTCTCTGATACAGAAAAATTCAGAACTTCTTGGTTTATTACACTGAGCTCTTCCTGCAAGGAAACAATTCCTGATTAAGAACTCCTTACTCAACAGCACAAAACAAAACTTGTTTCAAGTAACTACTGGAGAGACTGAATTAAAGATTATTTCTCTAAAAGATGGGCAGAGTGATATCCTGGGAACACTTACTGGACAACTTTGTGTTCCTATGCTAAAAATCTTGACAGTTACACTGTATTTCCAGATATTACAAGCCTGCCTGTTGTTTACAAGATAATTAAATAGCAGGAAGGAAAAGCAAAATAAATACTCTGTTTGGCAAATATTTAATAGTCAAAGATTCATTCAATAGAACCTAAGCATACAAATATTTGTATGTAGCTTAAAGAGAAAAAAACCAAACAAGTACCTCAGCCAACTCCAGTCTCATTTGGTTTGAAGTCTCGAACAGTCAGGAGGACTTAAGTCTTATTAGAAACAGGATTAGGATGCTAGAGTTATTTGTGCATACAACCTTGTGGATGTACATACATATCTCTGGCAGAGTGACTCATGTATGCTACTTCTGTACCTTTCAACTTCCTGTACCTCCTGTGTTTTGTACCTTGATTTGTGTGCTGAGATTCTTTTGCTTCAGCTTCACGGCTTTTTCATTAGTTATATTGAAGTCCCAAGTGCAGAGGAGTTTGCTTGCATTCCCAGTGTATGCCTGAGGGTTAATGAAGTTCCTGCAGAAGGATTTTGCCATGCTGCAATGAAAACTCAATTTGTGAGAAGTGTAATGGGGAAACACATCAAGTCTGTATAGCAGGGCAAGAGGGGAGATTTGTCAATTTTTCTGTCGCACCTCAAGGATACTGGATATCAGAGCATGCCACATAAAACATGGAAAATGAACTTTTATGCAAGAAACAATTCTCACATTTCCTTCTCCTAGTTGTTGCTGACAATCTTCACCTCTGGAAGGCCACATCAAAACCAGAAGGTGTTAGGAGCAACAGCTTACAAAAGGGGGATCATGATATCCATTGATTTGAACTGGGATTCCCTCCATGTCCCTTACTATTTTGCAGTTGTTCTTCATTTGTCTAATAAAAGGTCTGATTTCTGGAGACTGTCTTTTGAGCAGAAATTTCTACTTAAACTCTAAACCTGGACATAAGGACTCATAGAAACACACACGATTACTGCCAACTACTGACAGGGTTGGTTGTTTTTTTGTTGTTGTTTTGGTTGGGTTTTTTTTTTCCCTTAATACAAGTGAAATCAGAAGAGAGTTAGTTTACCTGAACACCAAAATAAGAAAACAGATGACAAAATACATTCCAACGGTGAAAATATAGGCCAGTTGCATGTTGTAAGGTGGACCATTCTTTATTTTGCTGATTGTAGCATTGGTGTAAAAGCCATAGTAGAGTACTGTTTGTTGAAAATAACCCTGAAAAGATACAGAAGTAATTAAGAATGTTTGCTCTAACCTACATATAGTCAGAATTATCATCCTCTGAAGCCCAATTCATGGAACTCAAAGCTGTCCCATTCCCTACTGTAAAATCATAGCTGTGATTACATTTCTAAATATCAGGCCCTTTGTTTTCCTTCTATCAGCTAAAATCTTGTACAGCTCTGAGAGCTTCTAGAGATAAATAATTTATTTGCATCCTTCTTAAGATTCATGTGGGATGGTCATGAACATTCAACACCTTTGCAAGTTTTGGTCTTTTCTGAAAACTTCTGAAGAAGGAAAGGCTTAATTGCTTCTTTCTTAGGAGCAAGTTTCTGTGCAGACAAATTTTATCAGCAGCTATGAAGGAACCAGGAAGGAAACATGCAACATTCAACACCAGAGTTACTACATTAGAGTTGAACTCCTGCAGTGGTGACTGTTCTTTGCAAAGTTAAACAGCATTACTACAAAACACAGAACTTTCAAAGCATTTAAAAGGAAAAGGGTGACACCTCTTCTTTTAAAAAAATCTCTTCTTACTTAGGTGTTAGAAAGACCAGAGTATTGTTTATTACTAAAGAAATCCCTTAACAATAATAAAAGTTACACTTTTTTTACAGCAAAGACAGAAAAAACAGAGTAAATCATCTTCCTTTGATCACTCAGTTGATGAATACTATTAAAGTAGTGCAAAATCTTCCTTTAAAAATAGCCTGGCACTTTATTCCCTGAATATAAATATCTCCACACAATGGAAAGATCTTCCTGCTTCCAGATGTCACCAAGTTCAGTGGATTGCCACAAAGATCTGTGAGCATGGGAAAAATGTTCTGCTGAAGACTAATGTAGCTATCTCTGGAAGGCCTGGCTTCCTTTGTGACTCTTCCACTGCTTTCTGAAAGAGTGATGGAAGTCTTGAAATATTGTTGAACACAGCAGTCATTTGCAGTGAGAAATGCATCAGGAGTTCCATTCACCACACTCTGTGTCAATGTTTGTTGCAGCTTTTTATTTTTTTCAAAAATGTACTAAATATTGTTTCTAGTTACGTAATATTCTAACTCCACCTCTTAATAAGAAATACTAGATTTTTACTCTGTTGTGAGTTTTTAAAGTAGATCTGTTGCTCACAGTACTAATACAAAACTGTTGTTACATACTTACAGCTCCAGTAACCAGTTCCAGACCAGTGAATGAAAGATTATTTGGTTCTGCTGCAGCAAATTGAGGGATTATGATGAAACTGAGGTTTACAAAGAATGAAAAGATGTTGAATTTTAGCAGCCACTTCAAAAAAATAAAGTAAGAAAGAACACTTGTTCCAAACTCTGCACCAATGATCTTCAGAATCTTGCGCCAGAACCGCAGTAGGTCAAAATATTCTGACAAGCTATTTCTAAATCGCCGAAATGACTGAAATGCAGAAGAGGAGAGAGATTAATCAAGAAGTCTTAAATGGGACTTAAACTCACATAATAAAGCCTGACACTTTTTACAGTTCTATTTTGGTGATAAGAACAGATTTCCCCCAATACATGTACCATAAGATACTTAACTGGCATCCCTAAGTGCTACTGTACTACAAGTCATTATTAATGAACACTGCAGCAATTAACTAGTTCTTTGGTAAGTAACAAATCAAGCCGCCTCAGGAGGCAATGATAACATTGCAGCTGCAGTGGTTTGATCTATTGCAACTCAGGAAAGTTTGACACTTACCACTGCTGCTCCCTGCAAACACGGTGCACAGCACTGTGACAGTTGAGTATTGTAGTGCCTTGATGGTTTTCTTTCTCTAAGAACCTTATTCCTGTGGAAAAGCAGGGCAATGGGTGACAAGCCTTACAGTATGGGTTGTAATTAAAAAAAGAAGCCAAAGAATTTGCTACTCATACAGTCACACATGTCCACATGATCGGAATTAGTTATTAGTTGATACTACAGCTCTTGTCCATGCTATGACAGCATATTCTAACCCCTCCACTAACTCACTCTAGGAATAAAATTTAATATAATATCTATGGAGACAAAAGGGTGGTTGAGACCATGTGGTCTCTTCTCCATTTTCAATGGCCAACATCTAAGCTTCCTTTGAAAAGAAATCACAAGTCATCATTCCAAATCAAATCTCAAGGCCCTGATATTCTCTTTTATATAACCATGAGGGACTCATCTCATCCAGCAAAAGGACAATGAACCATCCTTAAATTATATTCCCTTGCAAAACGTTAACTTCTTGAAAGCACTTTAAAAAGTACTTTCAGTCCTTTCAAAATTACAAACCAGAGCTAAGCAGATGGCAAATACCCATACTTGATGGCTACATGGTCAAAGTATAGTGTTTGTTAAACTAAACAGATACACTTTTATTTTTACCTGATCTCTCTCTTTCTTTTCATGGTCTCTGGCATCTTCCGGATTTCTTTAATCCTTTCACTGGTGGACATACTGGCAAGATTTCCAATTACCTTTTCCTCTGAATAAACCCATGAAAGATCAAATATTTTGGATAATAAGACAGTAATTCTTATACAAAATACGAATGGATAACATTCCCCATTTTCACTGCTGTCAAGGTGTGGCAAGTTCTGAGACTTCATAAGACTCCCCAGAATATCCCCAGCTCCATCAGTATTTTAATACAGATGTAAGTAAACAGTACAATATTAAATGTTAAGAAATAAACACCATTTGTCTGATGCTTGTTTAATGTTAATACAAAGAGCTGCAATAAAAAGGAAAACAAAATATTGAAAAACTCCAAGGTTCTGGTCTATTGCTTGGTTACTGTTTGATAGTTATATTTCTATGATGTTATATTGACTTGGAAGCTAAACTTTTATTTATTCTGTAATTTGAGTTGATGTTAGTGCCTGAAGATAGCACTACTTATGAGATAGTCAAAACTGTATTACTTCACAATCAAGCATAGTTGGAATTTCATGCTAATTCCAGACCCAGTGGCTGACAGCAATCCATTAGCTGGGTAAACAAATTCTAATAAAGAGTTTAGCTTTTCTCTCTACAATTTAAAACATATTCACACTGCACTGTGCTTCACTTATGATCAGATTTTAGTGTACTAGTAGAAAAGATTAATCACTAGAGTTAACACAAAATGGTTCCCATAACAACAGAAAGACTGTACATGCAATTCTGGTGATAAACAAAAAGTAGTATCAACCACACCATCCTTGTGCAAGATGCTATTTAATACTGAACCACTTATCTAAACTCCTACCTTTTTTGTAGGCTGGATCTGTTTCAAACAGGCTGGAAGAAGTCATGCAGATCTCATCAGATGGTCTTCTGTTGCGTCTCCGAGAAGAGCTACCTAAATAACATGCCCTGTTTAGTAAGCTCAGATACTCCCGACAAATTGACTAAAGAAACTCAGATTTCACTTTCACAGCAACAACTTCAAAGTAAACCCTTCAATCTCACTACTTACATGCAAACCTACTTCTTATCTGGTCATGCTTGACGACCACATGCAATTTTTCAGATACGTGCTGGAAGAGAGGAACTGAGCCCAGGCTTGAGCTGTCACAGAAAACTGTCACCTAACTCATTTATAAAGGTGCAGTTGGTTATTCAAGACTTTCCTCATGGAAGACAGGCCTTTCTTTAAAAATCCTTCCACTGACTTCAGAAGGATTGTTTTAGATTCGCTCAATCACGCTAAGTTATGTGTACCAGACTGGCATTTCCCTGGGGCAACTGTTCTCTCAACCTTCTGTCATCCAATTACCCAAACACAAGAGGCCGTATTGCTTAAATGCATCCACCTTCCAGCTATGGATCAGGTTTTTTTAGCCACAGCTTTCCTTTCCCCACCCTCCCAATAAGCTAATGGCCGGTCTGTACAATGCTACATACCCCTTTTGAGCTTGACCCTCTAGTGTGGAAGGCCCCAGCCAACTGATGCACCAGTTGTTAAGACATGATGCAGGCTCCTTCACCATATTTACTATTTAGATCTAATGTTTATGTCATGTTAGTGTCACTTTCACTTTGAGGCAATTTCCTTTGTAGCAGTAAAAAAGAATCAGAAAAATAAAAGTATCTGTGCCTCCTTCTGGAGGTACTTCTTGAACTTTCAGCATCCAGACATTTATCCTCTAATTGCAGTGTTGGAAATACACTCTCTTTCCCATCAGGTATTAAAAGCCACATGTGATCATTGATGTTCAGAAATGTCCTATTTCTATGGTCACTCACAGAGCAAGGTACTTGCAGGTACCAAAAAAGAAAAAAGGTTGCTTTTTAATATGAATATGATTTTGCCAAATCAGATCTTAATGGTTAAGATCAGGTCTAAAGACAATGTTCTTAAAGATGAAAGAGAAAAAACCCAACAATCTCTCCTTTGCAGGCACAGAGAAAGGATTCTTTCAACACACCTAGGTAACAACCAGGAAAGAACTCTTAACTACATTCCAGAAGCTGCAGACAAGAACCCAAATGATTGTCATAGAAAAGTTGTACAATGGGAAGCACAGTTCCTACCCAGAACATGAACAATAACCTACTATGCTAGTCTAAAACAAAACCCAGATTATACTATTCCAGATCCCCTGTATAATAATGAGCGTAAATCTCTAATTACAAGTCTAGAATTTACATGGAGACAACACAGCAAACAATACACTAAAAACAGTCTCAAAAATGCATCCTATGCTCCCCCAGTTTCCTCATACAATAAGCCTCTTCAGAAAATTGTGTACGTTTGTCCTATGTCAACCCACTTACAGGGTATTTGGGTTAAAGCTGGTAGACATTATATCTTTCACTGCTCAAGAAACAAAAAAACCTTCAGAAAGGTAATGAAAAATTCAGATGTAGGATGGTGAAAGAGAATTTGTGTTTTCTGAATCCTTTTATTATGTGAATATGTTCATCCCTGAACCAGAGGGGTTTAATATATTTATTTAATCCAGGGCAAGACTGCCATACAATATTCTAAAGCACCACAACCCTTATGCTTACCCCTGGACACTCTGGGAGGTGTGTTGGGACAGCGGCGATCCAGCTGATGGAAGGCAGAAGGTGGGGGGTAGGGCAGCTCTGGCCCAGGCTCAAAGGAAAGATTATCTGTTGAAGGGAATCAGAATTACACAGGAAGTTGTATATTGCTGTGGATTATTTACACAGACAGACTATCAGCCCTATTGACCAAATACAGCAATATATCCCATTAACAAAACTCCTGTGTCCCACTCCAATGTACATCCTAGTATTCAGTGACTCAGAGCAGTCCATACAAGTCAGTATTTACGGATCTGTTAATACAAGAGACAGTCCAGACCTGGTCTGTTACTGTAACATCTGAACTACTTCTAGCAGAAAAGCAAAAAACCCCACTGTCACCACCACTGAGTGGAGCTTCCCAGAGCTGCAGGACTCCCTAAGGACAGAATAAGCCATTATTTGTTCCAGTGTTTCTGTAAGTTGTTCATAGCAGAAATTACATACCTGTGAAATTTCCATATGGACTTCTGCTTAGAACATTAACTCTTGGGAAACCTTCTCTGTATTCAGAGCCATGTCTCATGGAGGCCATTGGTATGGCCACTGGGTTACCCTGTCCCCTTCCACTGTGTTCTCCATAGGAACCATGGAGTGAAGAATCATAAGGGCTTTGGTGAAAGGACAGATTCTTTTGAGAACTCCTCCTGTGTGAGCAACAAAAAGGAAAATGCTGAGTGGCATAAAATCTCTCAATAGATATCCTTAACAAATTGTTGCCTATTATAACAACATTTGAATACATTATAAAACAAATTCTGATCCTGAGTAGTATTTTGTATTTAGAACTCCCACATAATAATTCTGATTTGACCATCAACTGAATTAGAGAGACTAAAACTTTTCTCTGCCTGAAGTTATCTGGAACTCTACCTGAACAGGAATAACTGCTTGGAAAATGAAAACATCCAAGTTTCTAGGCACATCATGAAAATTACCCAAATTAAAAAATACCCATGACATGATGCCATAAATCCTAACAACCATTTAACTGATAAATTCATCTAACAAGCAAAATCAAACATGCCATTTCTCTTGAATGTTCTTGCTAAAAGCAGCTTTAAAAATTGTGTCTGAGAATGAAAGCATAAAGGAGGGATTAAAAGAATTCCACAAATTAACACTCTAGAGATGAAGTTTCTCCCGCTTATAAATAATTTAATTTCTTATGTCAGTCACAACAGCAAAATTAAACAAACTTACCTTCTATCAATTTCCAGTGTCTCTGAAAAGTGGTAGTCTGGATTTTCAAAGGCTTCATTGTAGTGATAAGACATGACAAGTTGTTGGTTTGAGGGAGGAAATCTTCCTTATTTTTGTCTCTACTGCTTCACTAATATGTTCATGAGAAAACTGGTAACAGACCTGATTACAAAATAGATACAGGTACATACAAAATGAAAAGAAAGGAACTTCATTTTAGCATATTAGTTCAAAATTTTTGCTACCCTGCTAACAAAAAACACAAAACAATACAAATAGGAAGTGGTTCTAGCTTAGTACTATTTACCACAGGGAAGTTAGGGTCCACCAGAAGATGCAGGTAAAAAGGGAACTAGTATTTCTGGATATTGAACTCTCTAGAAAATTAAGGAACTGGAGTGCCACATGAAGTTATTCCCAGCACTGACAGTGAAGCCAGGTTTTAGAAGCATGTTGAAACATTAAGATGAAGAAAATAACTTCTTTCCTCCTCTTCAGGAAAAGCCAAACATACACATTTTCTCCAAGTACTGTTTCCAAAACTGAAGAGTAGTTGAAGTCTGCACACTTCCTTACTAGCAGTGGCATCTCTAAGCTTTAGTTGTGAACAAGGGACCCACTGGACCACTGCTATGTACAGAGCTGATGTTATTTAGAGGGCTCTTCTAACAACCTCATGTCTCAATCCTGTAAATAGGTTTGGTTTTAGCTTTATTTCTCACAGAGTGCTCCACTTCAGTCTTAAATAAACTGGACTCAGAATTTAAGGAAGGAAAGTCTGGGTAAGTCAATGAAAAGGGAGCCTTATATTAGAAAAACAGAATCCAAGTTAACCAGGCAGCTCTTGCAATTAATCAAAGCTCATACTCAAAATTAAAAATGAAGTAATTTTTAGCATTTGTTCATAAAGGCAACACACCAACTTTGATCAGCTGCCAAGCTATTCAACAACAGGGAAGGGGAAAAAACAAACAATAAAGGACATATCTGGCAAAACCCATCAGACCCTGCTTTTATCTCAGCTCCACTCCTAGAAAAGCAGAGCTGAATCTCCTCAACCAGCTTTTCTGTCTGCAGTGATTTTTATTTATGATTTCTACTGCAGTAAAGGAATTATCACAAGAAGAAAAGTATCTTCAAAATGGATAATTGTACAGTGTCCAGTTTCTGAAGGCTTGTCAACATCTTTTCCTTTTGTCAAAAGAAGCTTTTAAATAACTGGTGAGTCATTTATACACCTAGGGATCTTGGAAGACACTCTAAAAATCAATAGTTGTAAAACACTGCCTAGGTTTTGCACACTGCCATGCAAAGAGGTCTGCATGTAAACAGAGGTTGTTGGTCTAATTCCAAGTCCTATATTTTAATCAGAACTTTGTCTACTCTTCCATGCCAGCATGATGAAGCATGCTATGAGGACCAAATCTTCAGCAAATAGAAGTGTACCAGGTAATTTGCAAACAAGGTACATCACCCATCTCTTCTGTAAATACTGCAATGTGGTTACTGCCAACAAGGTGAAACTTGTTGTTTTTTCAGGCAACAATTTCACACCTAGAGAGACAGAGTAAGATTCTCATGTATTCAGAAAAACAATTAACAGAGTCTCCTCTCTGTATCTCCAAGCATTAAACACCCCAAGAATCTAAGGTTCTTACATAAAAGTCATGGGAAAATCTCCTGATAGGAAGTTTTTCTTTGACAGGAACCACTTAACTTCTGATGATCCTTTGAGAACTAGCTTAGAATATAATCTGAAGTTTTATTCAAACTCTTCAGGAAATGGTACATTCTGTCCTTATTGAAAAAGATATGTGCAAACAACTCTTCGAAAATATAATGGTCTTCTGCAAAGAGTTGCTTGGAAAACTACATTTTCTTCTATTAAACTGTTCTACATTTCAAGTTAATTAAAAGCTAGAGAGGAAAAGGATACTTTCTCAGGGGAAAAAAATTCTCAGACAATTCCCTTTGAAGAGTGTTGAAAAATACATTTTTCTATTTTTTAACTGGTTTCCCAGGAACCCAACTCACTCAGGCCTCACCATCCAGAAAGCTGGGAAGCCTGCCAGCAAAACTGACCACTCACCTAAACAGCTCCTCAGATTGCCTGGTCTTCATTCAAACTGCAGAGAGAATGGATATTTTGATAGAAATGTGAAGGTTGTGTAGAATCAGCATTACCCAGCAGCAAGCTGGTAGGAAGTATTAACCAGCTTTTACAACCTTGCTTGCCCAGGCCCGAAGCTCATGAGAAACTCTTCTTATCAAATCTGATGCCTACATTACAGGTTTGGTTTGGGGTTTGATGAGCTGTCAGATTATAGATTTGTGACCAGTTCACTGGAAAGAACATAAAGCACACTAAAACATCTTTCTTCTTTCTGACCTATGATAGAATGCAGTAAACCATAGCTCTAGCAAAAGCTATAACATTAAGACTTAATTTTATCTTTAAAAGTTATTTTCCAGAAGGGAAAATAAAAAAGTGCTGAAGAGCAGTGCTCATTTGTGAAAGATACACAAAAAGCAGGAACTTGACTAATCTTGCCTTTGCAGAGTAGTGTCCATTAGTTGGATGACATTTTGGATTTCAGCAAGCAACTAGAGAAATCTAGTGTTCCTCATCTGGAGAATGGAAGGGTTTCAGTTCAGTGGATTTAATAATATTATTAATAATCTTACTTATTGATAAGTAAAAAGTTACAGGGTAGGTGAAGAGTGGCTGCTTTCTGCCTAACTCATTCAACATACACTGCAATGATACAGAACAGGAAATTCCAAGCAGTGTAGACTCATGCTTCTGGATCACTTCCCAGAAAAATATGTGCCTCCACATCACAGACCAACAGCCTTGATAAAATATTACAGGTAAGTTTCATCCCTTCCCAGAAAGGTAATTCTCTGATATAGACACTAATCCTTATTTAGACTGCAACTCAAACAAACATGGAACATCTTGCTAAAACAGTACTTTTTCCTGGTATCAAGTTTCAGGAAAGCCACTTAAGACATTCAAGTCCTTTACCTGTAGCCTTTCAGTTAAGAAGATTACATAAAATAAATTCTCCTTACACAGATCTTGAAGAGAAATGTAAACAGTAAGTCCCAGAATTATCACAGTTGAATTAATAGCATTGAATGAAATAAATAGAACCAATAGAAGAACTGATTCAGAAGGTTCAATGTGCTCTATTTCCATAAAGATCATTCAGTTTTGTAAGGGATGATTGGACAGGGCTTCACTGTTACCCAAGTTAGGTTTATTAATGAATTCCTGTCCTGTTCAACATGTTCTACACAGCCTCATACTGAAAAAAATCAGATTAATGTCTGGAAGCCAAAAGCGAGTCTCTTAAACTCACAGACCAGAGTTAAAACTAGGTTACAAGCTACATCAGCAGCTAGGTTCCAGTACTGACCACTACTCTTCCACTGTCTCAATCCCAACAGTTTCAACACTGCTACAACAAACCAGGAAAGCCTCTCAGTAAAACTGAAGAGCCTGTGAATTGACACTAATCGAACACCACACTCAAGAAAATGCGATCTTTGACATATTTGCAATGAAACAAGTGTGGATCATACACGGAAGTAAAAGTCACGTGCATTATTTTTTTTGCATATCTTTCATGCATATTGCCAAAGTACCCAGTCTGCACTGACAAACGTCACCTCTGACCAGCCCTCCCTTGTGCTTTTATCTATGTCAGCAGGGTCAATTACAGGTGCTAACGTCACTTTTGTTATTTTATATCTTCAATCAATTTGAGCAATGTAAATTGTGCCTCTGCTACAAAAGATCTTCCCAGTGAAAGATGACATGTGGTAGCACTGAAGACTCACCTGCTTACTACCGTCTAGGCATAGGACAGAACCAACTTGTGGAGGGAAAGGAGAGTGGCAACATCCACACTATGGCTGCAATGCTGCTGTTTCTGCCAACATCTTTTTGGATGCCAAGCTCACAAAGCTCCTACAGTGCAATGCTACCCAGCCTGCATTCAGATCCCATCCTCCCAGTTCCCCCAAGCTCCACTCAGTGAGAGTGCAGAAAGTAGCCAGGTAGGCTGGCAGAAGCAGACAATGTCTCAAGGAGGAACAGTGAAAGGTCTCTGCCCTCAGCTGGCTGCTCCCATTGCTTCCAGCTACTGCCTCAGTGTCATGAACTTTGCACCTTATCTGTTCTTTATCCATTTGTTGCACCTACTTACTTGTTTGCCTTGTCCTTTCCTTTTAACAGTCTCCTTGTAATTTCCTGCCCCCCCGGCCTCCCAATGTAGTAAGGCTGCAATATTTTAATTTTGTTCACTTCATTTGCAACTTAAATCTTTTCTTTCACCTGCTCAGATAAGACTTTTGGAGAAGGACTGCCAACTACTTTATGTTTGCAGTGTCTCAAGCAGGATTCTACATCTTCACCTGACTAAATTTAGACATCTTTATTATAAACATGCTCCTGAAACATAAAAAAAATCATTACAACATACAGTTAAATTTTAGTGTCCAGTAAAGCATTGTAAAGATGTGACACACACTTCACAGTTGTTGCCTAATGGCAGTGGACAAAAGTTCACATATTTCATTAATTCTGTGAAATATATAGCACTTTCCCTAACCTACCACACAAATCCCTGCTTCTTCACCCAGAAGGCCCCATGGAATCACAATTCTTATAGACTAAAGTACATAACACAGGGATTTTGCATTATCTAATCCTTTCCCCAGAGACCCTTTTGAGAGTAAATGTCTTTTCCTTGGCTGTTTTGTTGCTTTTATTTCCTTAACTCTGACCACAAGTTGCAAACTTAAACCGCCAGGAAAACTATGAGCATTGGATAAAGATGAACAATCAGGGATATAAAACCACTAAAATTAGAAATAGAGAACTGAAGAGTAAGAACATACCTGGCAGAGAGAGGAAAGATTAACAAGAATAAGAAACTGTGAACAGAACTCTCCATTATTTCTTTGACACTTGAAAGACACTACCTAGCTCACAGACTATTATGGGGGAAAAAAGGCAAAGGCAAGGACCACTTCATAATAGTGCAAGTCAGTCTTGTGACCAGATTTCCAAACTGCAGACTATCACATTCTTTGCATATAGCAGGACTAAATCTTCCTTTGCAGAACAAGTTTTTTTACCTCTATTAACCAACATCACGGAATTGTCAGAGTTGGAAGGGACCTCTAGAGATCATCTAGTTCAACTTGGTCCTCCTAATTTTCCCTCTACATAGCTCCACTACATCTAGGTATTCCTCATAGGTTGCCCTTTTTCAAAGGCCATAAAGTTTCCTTTTGTTCCTGACATCCAGCCAAAGCTCCCTATCTAGCTGGGCTGGCCTTCTTCCCCATTGACTTGTCTTTCAGGTCCTGGGGATGGCCTTCTCCTGTGTCTTTAAGAGTTCCTTCTTGAAGTATGACCAGCCTTCCTGGGCTCCTTTGTCCTTCAGGACTGTCTTCCAAGGGACACTCTCAACCATGCTCCAAAGCAGGTCAAAGCCTGCCCTTCAGAAGTCCAAGGTGGCAGTTCTGCTGGCTACCCTCTTGCTACTCCAAGAATTGAGAACTCTTATCATCCTCATCACTATTTGGTTCCCCTTGCAAAACATCATGTCTATTCTGCAAGGTCACCCAGGGAGGTGGAACAGTTACCTGAGGGACATACGTGCCACACTGCGTGCATTGCGCAGGAAATAGTTGCCACTGTTTCTTATCCTCTGCACCATGACCCCCACCTGACTGTTAGGCCTGATTCAGGGAGGCTAAGTCACAACACCAAGGGTCTATCTCCTTCAAACTCCCTGACACTCCTTAGCCTCTCCACCTCCTCCTTCAGCTCTGCAACCATGTAGAGTAGATAATGTCTCTGCTCTCACCTCATACAGCTGGTCTCTCCACCATCCTCCAGTATGAACGACAGGCTCAGGCAGCTGTGAATGACCAGCTACTTGTATTTGAATGAAATGTCTGGTTACAAAAAAAGGAAGCAGGTTTTGAGTACCTGTCTGGAGTTAGTTTTCTGCTTTCAGCAGAAAGGCAGATTACTAGACTAGGTCTTCTAGAGGCAGGAGACAATGTTTACTACAACAGTTCTTCTGTTTTGCCTTAAGAAGAAAGCTCCGATTATTCTGTACTTGCAATGGATACCCATCCAGTTTAAATGCAACCTTCAAATTACACTTTAATGAGCAGTATCAGTTGCAGGAGTCTTATTCACAAGTTCAACTGGAAAAGCTTGTGAAAACTACACATATGGTCATTTTAGATAAGTTTTGAAAGGCCTTAAATGTTGTTGAATTAAAAAAAGCCCATTGTTCTGTTTGTAATTTCTAGCTTAATTTCCTGCTAGGATATTGTAGTCTCATTACTATTTGCACAAGCAGCACTTCAGATGACTGTGAGGGAAAACAAAAACTGTTCACAATATTCTGACAAACCAACAAAAGCTAGAAAATGGTTGAGAAGAATCAGTCAGAAAAAAAGAAAGAGAACCAGTTTTGTCACAGGTTTCTCCTAACTCTTCAAAATCCTTATATGCAGTTTTCAAATTGTTGGACAAATAATTTCACATAAACAAAATCCTTTTTTTCCCGACAAAATGCAACTACATAAAAATGCAGTGTAATATGTTAGCACATTAGGGTTGTATTTTACAACGAAACATATAGAAGCTATGGATTGTACAAGACCCAATTAGAGACCTTTTCACAAAAATGTGAAAGGGGACACCACTGTAGAGTGGTAGTTCCTGTTATGTCAGCCCATACAGCCATGCCATACCACACCACTTCAGCACTTTCATAGCAAGAATAAAAGTTCTCCAGGGAAACGTATATGGAAGTGGGGGGTGGAAAACAAACCCGAGATCAATTGCTTTGGGTGGAGTACTGACACATCAGCTCAGAACAGGTGCCATTTCAACCACACAGCTTAGCACAGGCAGCCTGCTGCTACCCCCGTCCTATGCCAGGGCTGCATCACATGGGCAGGGACACTTCAACTATCACACCTTGAACCTGGCTCCAGAGCTAGGGACGGTACAGGATCAGGCTGCTGTTGCTCCAAGACTGGCAGAGGAGGCTATAGGACAATGGCAGCTGCACAAGTTGGAACAGCTTTCATGCAGTACCACAGACTGCTTGCAGGTTTGCTTAATTGACAGAGCACCATTAAGGGACAGAGACTTAATCATGACATCTTGGATGTCTGGCTTTTAGATGTACATTTAATCTTCTGCATAGAAATGTTTTAACCTTTGTAGGTTAGGGCATAAAGGAAAAGAGTAATGCTGAGACTGAGGAAAGTTGTACTGAAGCAGCCTGATCTAGTGGGAGGTGTCCCTGCCCATGCAAGGGAGCTTGAACTCAATGATCTTTAAGGTCCCTTCCAACTCAAACCATTCTATCATTATTCCATTCTAAACAGTAAGCCTGCATGTTTTGACCGAGTATGACTGACCACAAAGATCATGAATACTTAAACCTGAGATTTTTCCCACCTATTTAATACATGAGGCTGGTGCAACACTTCACTGGCTAAACACAGCTACTGGAAGGTGTCCCTCCCCATGGCAGGGAGAATGGAACTAGATGTTCAAAGTCCCTTCCAACCCAAACAATGGTATGATTCTATCAGGAAAGGATGTGCCTGTTAATCCTCTATGGGACCAACCTTTCCAGCTGAAGACAAAGCTCGTATGTGATGAACAGGGCACCAAAGCCATGAAGTGCCACAGAGCAGGGCTGATACTAAGAGCACCACTCTGTGGTTAATGACCTCTGAGATAGCAGGCACCAATTACAACCCCGGAGACAACGCATGCAGTCCAGCCCTAACAGTTCCATCACTCTAAATTAACAGTC